GAATATTGACTATTCCAACAGAACTCAATGGGATTTACAAAATGCTAAATAAAACACTACAGGAACGTTTTTTCTTTACGAAACTTTTTTTGGAACGTCATTGAACAGCGCTGACGACCCGGTGAGTAGCATATTTTAAAAAAAGAACGTTTAAGGTTGTTTTAAGGACATTATCGGACATGCACTATGCAAGCCATTCTAAAGCAGCCAGGGGGGGATTCTAAATGAGCCAAAAAGCAGAGACAGGACCAATTGTCAAAAGTTTGGTGTCGATCATTCGATTTCATCCTGGACACTACAGAAAATGGGCTTAAAGTGTTAAAAAGTGAACTTCTCCTTTAAGCAGTGTCTTTTTTCAAGAGTAGAGTCCTGATTCTAAGTTAATAGACTATTTTCCACTCTTGTCTGTTTTGCATTTTTATTAAAACTTACAGTAATACTTGCACCTTTAACTGTTTACGGTTTTACTGTTCACTGTGCAATATTAGATTGCTATTCATAATTTTGTCCAGTTTGTGTTTATCTCTTAATAAACAGGTAAGTTTGTTGTTACCAAGCATTGTGTTTTATTCAATCTCACCTAATTCAACTGGCTAGATGTTATCAAGAGTACTAAAACCCTTTTCAACACGAGTCTTACAACTAAGGCTAAATACTTTAACTTAAACTTAAATACATGCTGGGATAGGCTGGTATCGGCCAGTATCGGATCGGAAGTGCAAAAACCTGGATCGGGACATCTCTAATCCTGAAGGAGTTGGACTGCCTGTGCAACCTCTGTAGGGTCCAGGTAGCGCCTCATGCTAACAGTAGTGACAGTGACCCTAGCCAAATGCAAAACTGGTGAAAAAGAGTCAGAAAAGATGAGGAGGGGATAAATGTCAGTGGCCACCACCTGTAACACACCTCACTGCTAAAGCCTTCATCTGGACTCTGCTCACCCTCCCCTGTTCATCCATCTTCAGACTACAAGTAAGGTTGAACTTTCATCCTCTGAACAACATCAGCTCCACCATATAACCTTCTGTCTCCTTTGTAGTGAGCCTCTGCTGAACCATCTCCAGACCAGACCCTCATGTCTCCAACAATATCAGAATAAACCTTTACCAGTTCTCACTGCTGAGAGTTCTTAGATCTGCTTCTAAAAGACTCCCCCGCCCAGTGACAGGGTCCACATTCCTTTCACTTCCTGTTTTATTGCATGATGGCCTCTTTTTCTTGCCGTTTAATGATGGAGATCTAATTATTTTAGTGGCATCTATCTGTAAATTGGGAGTCAGGATGTTTCTGTAGATTTCTGGATTCATTTGCTGCTTCCATCATGTCTGACATCATCAATTAATATTAATAGGCCGATCCCAGAGGAAGACAAAGCATAGAAGATAAATGTTAGTTACAACAAATATAGAGAAACTGATTTTAGTTCTACTATTAGAGGAATTAAATGGATCTCAAGTTCTTTTCTGTCTGTTCTTTCAGTTTTCTGATGATAGACTAGTCCATGCATTTGTTACTTCAAGGCTGGACTATTGTAATTCTTTACTATCAGGAAGTCCACAAACTGTAGTTAAAAGCCTTCAGCTGATCCAAAATGCTGCAGCCAAGAGTTCTGATGAAAATGAAAAAGAGAGATCATATCTCTCCTATCCTGGCTTCTCTTCACTGGCTTCCTGTTAAATCCAGAATAGAATTTAAAATTCTCCTTCTCACATATAAAGCCTTAAATGGCCAAGCTCCATCTTATATCAGAGATCTGATTGTTCCTAACAGAGCACTTCGCTCTCAATCTGCAGGTTTACTAGTGGTTCCTAGAATTTCTAAAAGTAGAATGGGAGGCAGATCTTTTAGTTATCAGGCTCCTCTCCTGTGGAACCAACTACCAGTTTTAGTCCATGATGGAGACACCTGTGTAAATTCTCGGTCCTCAGGTTCATGGCGACCAGAAAACGGGCTCAAAGCGAAGTTAACAGAACTTTGGCTCAGTTTTTCTGAAGACGTTTCCACACCTTTCTAGGAGTCTTTGTCAGTTCTGTTTATAACAAAGTTTCCGTTCTACATTTCCAAAGAGCAGCAGAAGAACAATAAATAAAGTATAGAGAATGAAAATAATACAGAACTGTGCAAAGGAGACAAGAATTCCAAGTGTATTATAAGATTTACTGCTCAGAAGGGATTTAGGTCTTTTTATGTTTTAAAGTTTACCTCCAAGTTAAGATTGTTGAGAATAATGTTAGTGGATAATTTGAATGAACATTCTGGGATTATTTTTCTTCTTGAGGCGATGTTCTCCCAGCAACAGCCTGAACGCTGAGCTTTTCAGGGACCAGTGGTTGTGGGTCCAAAACCAGAACGTTGTTGCTGGATTGGCAGCATGTTTCTAATGCTACAACATTTTCAAGTTGAAGATGGTGAAAAAACCATAGGGAAATAATATTTAAATGGCAAATCATTCTGACTGAAACATGCATATAAATGTACTCTTTATCAGATGGTATGGTCAAAAGTTAGAAAATTTCTATGTATAAAAAAAAATCCTGTCTTAAAATCTGTTGGTTTTTTTATCTGTTATCTTATGCAGGCCAGTTAGGTATACTTCAGCCTGTACACCTGAATTCGACCAATCAACTGTGAATCAAATTTTCGGTTATACCATCTTGATTCATATGTTGCAGCTGTTGATTTATCGGTTAACACCGTAAAACAAATCAAGAATCTGTTACATCTCAGCAGCTACTGCAGCTGTAATTGGCTAAAAGATCGACATGGGAGGTGGGTACCCAATCAGCTCGAAGAATTTTACTGAAATACCCTCCATTTTGCTAACATGTTCAACAGAACGACACCCAGATTTATATGTTGTTTTAACAGAATTGAACTACGTGTTTCAATCTGGCTTATGCCACGTTAAATATGTGGCCCAGATGCAAAAAAAGGCCTTTCCAGGGCTCTTTATTGAAGTTTCACAAGGAAGAAATGCTCTAATAAAACAAAAAGGAAGTTTGAAAAATGTTGCTTTTATCTTGGGATATTATAAACCAGGTTTGAAGCATCTGATTGCTATAGATTTTAAAGAAGAGCAGATTAACAACACTTAAGATTGTAAGAAAAGAGGTGGAAAAGCCCTTTAGCCTTTTGCTGAACCAGTGTTATGAGAAGAAGAGAATGCCTGCTGAGAATTGCCTCACCTTTTGCAATCTAAGCTGTTGCACATTGATGACAAAGTGTCATGAATTGATTGCTTTTTTAGAGAAGGAGGCCATGGAGACATTCATTTTTTTAATCAAAATGAGAGATAGAGAAAATGATGTTGACAAAGTATAACGTAGGGATGCTTTTAAGAGGTTTATAGGTGGCTTTGATGTTCCTATCAAGTCTAGATTTCTTTGTGGACATTGTTCCACAGGATTGACATTCATAAAACTTCTCAACTGTGTGAGTTCTCATGTGAACCATTAAATGTACTTTTCTAGGAAAGTTTTCTCCTCATGTCAAACATGGGAAATTGTTCTCTCCTGTATTGTCAGTCTGCTGCTTCAGAACAAGCTGCTCTTCATGCTCACCTATGGGAAGCTCCTTGGTTTCCTTTTCTGCCCATGAATGTTCTGGTTCTTGCTGTTCTTCGCAGAGGTTCTGGTTCCTCTTGGTCCAAACTGGAATTCCTCTCCTGCTGGTCAGAGACATCCTTTTCTTTTTCAACATAGTCCTGAAAGTGGTCTGGAAAGACAAACACAGCAGAAAGACATTCTATAGGTGGTTAAATAAAGGACACTTCATGTAAAAGCACCAAACTCTGTCCTTGGAGCCAGTGGATCCTGTCAAGCAACCTGAAGTTATGAAGTTCATTCTGGACTAATTCCCCCCCCACCCCACCCCCCAACCCCCCCCCCCCCCCCACAAAGATTTATTAAAGAAAGTAAATCATTTACATCCAACACAAAAGTGACTTTCTGGCAAATAAGGGAGTAATGTGACACCCTAGCCTCAACAGCGCTTCCTGTACAGCTCTGCCTGGAAGAGACATACCCCAGCTCAGTGTCAGAGGCTGAGCAGATTTTAAATGATTCTCTAATGAAAATTCTCTGTTCTATTGTATTAAAAAGAAGCATTATGTGTTAATGAGAGGCCTAAATGATAAAGCCATCAGGGGCAGCTTCCTGATTTTTTTTGTTAAAAATGTAGCAATCAGCAGGGGAATAGGGCTGTTTTTCCCCCCCTGTAAAAATAGTTTGAACCATAAAATGAAGTGAGTACAGTTTTAAAAAAGATCACAGTGCCAGAAGAATTTCTTTTTCTAAAAAGTCTAGACTGTACTAGAGGCAGGAAGGCTCGGATGATGAGGTCACCACTTTCAGTCTCTTACATGGAAGTCCAATATCCCATTCTGGAAACGTTAAAAGGGGCAAGTTTTTGCTCATCTGGGAACTCTTGTCTGGGTTCCCCATCACAGAAGAGCAAAGTAACTCAGCTATATCACTCAAGAGGAGGATACCTCCTTTACTGCAGAAGACATTTGTCCAAACTGAATTAAAATGCTCAGAAGAAACGAAGAAAAAGAAATTTGACCAGATCAATCGAAGTACGGAGCCCCCTAGGGGACATGGGGAATTTTTTTTCTTTTGCGTTACCTCGCAATACTTTTGCGTTCCCTCGCAAAAACTTTTGCGTTCCCTCGCAAAACCTTTTGCGTTACCTCGCAATAGGGCTTGGTCGTCGTGACCATGTTGACGGCGCACTTTACGGCTTCCTTAGACTATTGCCTGTGTTCTCCCTCTCAGCCGTGTTTTATTTCGTTTAATTTCACCGTAACTTGATTTCAACCATGGTAAACCGTTGCTGTATTGTGGGCTGTAACAGCGCATCACATGATCGCCGAGGGAAAAACCTACAAAATGGGATAACTTTCCACCGCTGTCCTGCCTGGAGGCGCAAACACGGAGACCAAGTTTCACAGATAACAAAAAGTCGTCGGCTAGCTTGGATCGCGGCTGTAAGACGACAGAACAGAACTTTCCACAGTATCCTGATGTCAATGAGAGTGTGTTCCCTGCATTTTCATTCTGGTAAGTTAAAGATGCACGGTTTTATTTTATAGCCTACAGTGTTTCCTTCCTTCATCCGTGGCACCACATACAAGCATGAACGCGCGCCCAGAGACTGTTGATATAGCATTTTCATCCTCGTTGGTTGATATAGCATTTTATCCTCTTTGGTAGAACACACTGCCAGTTCCTACAAGGACAGGGACATCCCTCTCCATTTTAAAAAAAAACCCCTGAGGTTGACAGCTGTCATAGCACCACTTATAAATTTTGCTGATCCTAGCGCTTACCAGCCGTCTTGTAATGTAATGTAATCATATAATACAATTTAATAATGTGTATATTGAGGATCATTGATAACATTATGGTTCTATATGTGTTCAACACTGCTGCTGTGGATAATAATTTTAAATTGTCTCACCAGGAAAACCAGCAAATGAAATGTACACCTCGCATCCGGATTGGGCACCATCACTACACTTGGGCCACACTGAGATAAAGGCCACACAGACTGCACGCTATGAGAGACAGGAAAAGAGAAAACGGCAAAGGACTGACAGTACACCTGCGATGGATGAGACAGCTATTGATGACCTTGTTCCGCCCGGTAAGCCTTACAGAGCCAGCAGATTCAACACCGTATGTTGCTTTTGTGGCTTTTTCAGCTGCATGATGCACATTTAGCTAAAAGATGTCCTTATTTTATCCATAGTGGAGACACCAGCACCAGCTGAGGATGGAGCTGAGCAGACAGCGCCGGCGTGCTGAAATCAACCGGCTGCTGGAGGAGAACAGGACCCTGAAACGTGAGCTTGGCCAGAGACTTCAAGCTTAACACTAGCTTTGTGACCATTCATTCAGTGAAAGGAATCTCAAATCTTCATCAAAACATTATTCAAAATATTAAAAAAAATTTTAAGAATAATTTGCTGAAATAGAAATCAGCATTTGTTTGATACTTAGTGTTAGAAAAAAAATGTGTCCTAACAGGTTTTCGGAACCATCTTCTAATCTAATCAAAGTATGGTAACTTTGAGCTTAAATCATTCAGTCAGAGGTATTATGCAGGTTTAAATGTCCTGTGCTCATTTAATTTCCCTTTCTTTTAAGTGATATAACAATATAACAGCGTGGTTGTTATACTTTACTGTTGTATAACTGTGATTTATATGATATGTATACACATGCATGAGGGGTTGAGGTTAACGTTTGCTTTCCTGCATAGAATGAAATATAATGGTGTCCTTACCTGCATAATTTATGTCTATTTTTTTTCTCCTCAGGTCTTGCACTCTCAGCGCATTAATGAGACTCCCCTGAAGCCATGGGTCATCATTGCTGACGATGGGCAGGTTTGCTGTGCACACTGTACATGCATGGCTGGAATTGCAGAGGCATGTACACATGTTGGGGCTCTGCTGTTTATGATTGAGGCAGCAGTCCGCATCCGTGGGAAAAAGACTGTGACAGATGTGCCAGCTTATTGGAAAATACCAGCAGGTATCAACAAAGTCAGCGGTGAAGTCGCCCACAAGATGGACTTCACTTCATCCAAAGCGCAGAGGATTGCTCTGGACAGAGTCATCGATGACAACATTCCCATGCCTGGCCTACGGACACGGGCCAGCAGACGCACTGCCCAAGCCACATTGGACGACTTATCGTCAATGTTCCCTGTTCTTCAGAACCATAGGTCAGTTTGTATGTCCACAGTGAAGCCCTACTTTCACAACTATGCTGCTCCTGTCCAGCCAGCTGTGATCCCAAAACCCCTGCAAGACCGTCTGCGCGACCCAAAGTTTGAAAATGCTCCACCAGCTGTCCTTCTCCAGCACTGTGAGACAGTGAAAGACATTGCAGCTGCATATTATTGCACGTCGTTATATTACAATACAATTATAGATTATATTATTGTATATCATGACATATTGCATCGCAGCCTTTATTTATACAATTTAAGAAATGCATATTGTTAAAAGTAATTATATAAGACATTGCACTAACATTGTTTTTTAATGTGTACTATAGTACCGGTAATAATTTGCACTACTTCAAATGTTATTGATATCTGTTATTACTTAATTTGATCTACCTCCAATTTTTATGTTTGTAATTGATGTTTCATAAATACGTATTTTTTATTACTTTGGAATTTTTTTTATACATAGACATTTTTTATAAAAAGCATAGTATTTTGTATTATTACATTGTATTGTTATATTTGCATATTATTGCACGTTGTTATATTATAAAATTATAGATTATATTATTGTATATCATGACATATTGCATCGCAGCCTTTATTTATACAATTTAAGTAATGCATATTATTATAAATACTTATATAAGAATTTGCACTAACAGTGTTTAACTGTTAATGTTTACTATAACTACAATTTGTATAATAATAATTTGCAATATCTCCACTTTCCATTTCTCCATTGATGTTTCATTAAGACCGACTTATTAATAGGATTGAACATTTTGTATAAATACATACTATGTTATTGTAAGTAATTGCACTGCATTTTCATCGCGTCCATTTTTTTATTTGTAACCATTTACCTACAAGCATTCAAACTGCACTGCTCTGTTCTGCGCTACACTGTGTTCTCAAGTTTCACTACTTGCAAATAAACACTGAAAAGGATCTGATCGTTTGAGACCTCTTGCTTTTGGGTATGGATGCAAAACACACCTATGGCTAAAAAACAACCCACTTGTTAAATGTTTGCTTAGAGTGTATTGTTGATACAAAGAAATTGTCAATTCCATATTGAGCATCAATCTTTTCTTTAATACAGTAATTCATAAACACCAGAATAAAGTGGTTGACTTTAAGGTGTGGAAGTCCAGTGTAGTATTTCACTTTGACGGTGTCTTCCTTCAGGAAATCTTCATCCATTTTTCTCTGGCCAAGCTCACGTTTCAGGGTCCTGTTCTCCTCCAGCAGCCGGTTGATTTCAGCACGCCGGCGCTGACAGAAGTCACATTCTGTCAGCGGTGTCTGCTCAGCTCCATCCTCAGCTGGTGCTGGTGTCTCCACTATGGATAAAATAAGGACATCTTTTAGCTAAATGTGCATCATGCAGCTGAAAAAGCCACAAAAGCAACATACGGTGTTGAATCTGCTGGCTCTGTAAGGCTTACCGGGTGGAACAAGGTCATCAATAGCTGTCTCATCCATCGCAGGTGTACTGTCAGTCCTTTGCCATTTTCTCTTTTCCTGTCTCTCATAGCGTGCAGTCTGTGTGGCCTTTATCTCAGTGTGGCCCAAGTGTAGTGATGGTGCCCAATCCGGATGCGAGGTGTACATTTCATTTGCTGGTTTTCCTGGTGACACAATTTAAAATTATTATCCACAGCAGCAGTGTTGAACACATATAGAACCATAATGTTATCAATGATCCTCAATATACACATTATTAAATTGTATTATATGATTACATTACATTACAAGACGGCTGGTAAGCGCTAGGATCAGCAAAATTTATAAGTGGTGCTATGACAGCTGTCAACCTCAGGGTTTTTTTTGAAAATGGAGAGGGATGTCCCTGTCCTTGTAGGAACTGGCAGTGTGTTCTACCAAAGAGGATAAAATGCTATATCAACCAACGAGGATGAAAATGCTATATCAACAGTCTCTGGGCGCGCGTTCATGCTTGTATGTGGTGCCACGGATGAAGGAAGGAAACACTGTAGGCTATAAAATAAAACCGTGCATCTTTAACTTACCAGAATGAAAATGCAGGGAACACACTCTCATTGACATCAGGATACTGTGGAAAGTTATGTTCTGTCGTCTTACAGCCGCGATCCAAGCTAGCCGACGACTCTTTGTTATCTGTGAAACTTGGTCTCCATGGTTACGCCTCCAGGCAGGACAGCGGTGGAAAGTTATCCCATTTTGTAGGTTTTTCCCTCGGCGATCATGTGATGCGCTGTTACAGCCCACAATACAGCAACGGTTTACCATGGTTGAAATCAAGTTACGGTGAAATTAAACGAAATAAAACACGGCTAAGAGGGAGAACAGTACGCGTTAGTCACAGGCAACAGTCTAAGGAAGCCGTAAAGTGCGCCGTCAACATGGCAAACACGCAAAGTGGTGACGTCACGACGACCAAGCCCTATTGCGAGGTAACGCAAAAGGTTTTGCGAGGGAACGCAAAAGTTTTTGCGAGGGAACGCAAAAGTATTGCGAGGTAACGCAAAAGTATTGCGAGGGAACGCAAAAGTATTGCGAGGTAACGCAAAAGTATTGCGAGGGAACGCAAAAGAAAAAAAATTCCCCATGTCCCCTAGGGGGCTCCGTAATCGAAGAAACTGCAATAGAGAGCATAAAAAAGGGGTCAGATGGTTAAACCATTATAATATTGATTTGACATTTTCCTTGAGTCTTGCTGCTATCTTTGCTCTATCAGAGAGTTTGCTAATAAAAGATCCTCACACATTAGCATATGTGTGGAAAGAAAATTCTTCGATTCATCAATTTCCTGATGGTATCCTATATAGAGGATAAGCAATGCTTGTGGGTTGTATAAAATAAAACAGGAGGTTATTAGGGATTAGGGCTGGGCAAAATTGCCTTAAAATAAAATCTCTGATTTTCTTTCTTATTAATTTCAGTTACAATTTTTTTTTTTATTTCCCCCCTACCTCTTAACATCTGCCTGATTGCTGTTGTTCCATGCATATTTACATTAAACACAGCAGGAAGTTTGAAAATAACTTTGCTTAAACTTTTACCAATATAGACATGTTATACATCCTAAGAAAGCTTAGATTCTCCAAAATTCAACTACCAATTTAATTTTATGGAAACCATTAGTGCCAAACACAATAAATAAAGATATAGCAGCATATTGGGGCGACAGTGGCGTTGGATGTAGGAGTTTGCCCTGAAATCGAAGGGTTGACGGTTCAAGCCCCGACTCTGACTATCAGTGTCGTTGTGTCCTTGGGCAAGACACTTCACCTGGCCCGGTGGCGCCAGTGTACGGCAGCCCCGCTTCTGTCGGTGAACCCCAGGGTAGCTGTGGCTACAATGTAGCTTGCCACCATCAGTGTGTGTGTGTGTGTGAATGGGTGAATGAATGTAGTGTAAAGTGCTTTGGTCAAGTCTCCTAACTTGAATAAAGGCACTATATAAGTACATGACATTTACCATATTAAATCAGAATTTTATAAATAAAGCTTTGACTTCCAACATTTGAAGCAATCCCAAGGACGCACTGAGCAATGAAATGAACTCTGTGCATATAACCCGTCCACTTGGGGAGCAGTGGGCTGCCATTGTGCTTCGCGCGGGGAGCAGTGTGGTGTTAAAGGTCTTTGCTCAGGGACCCAGAGTGGCAGTCTGTGGAAGTGGGGTTCGAACTCAAAACCTCTGGATTCCAAGTGAAATCGAATCGAAAATTGAAGCTCTCTGTCACAAAAACCAAAATAAAGTGTAGTGGTATGGAAATATTAGTATTTCCATAATGATTATTTGCCGGTGTGGAGTTCCAGTCGGGCAAAGTGGGCGGGGTATATAAAGGGCAGCTGTGCTCATTTTGACATGTGTCAGCTGTGTATCACCACCGTGTGGCTCATGTGGGTTTTTGACCAAGAGAAAAAAGGCAACGGATCGCAACTCGTACAACTGCTCCGATTGCTGGTGGTAACGCGCCACGCTACCGCTCTCCTGGTCCTCATCGCCAGTGTGTGTGTGGGTGCGGTTGGGTGGACTAAAAGGTCCATCTCATCTTTGGACCACTGCTGCTCTGTTCTCTTCTTTTTTGGATCTTTTTATTGGACTCCCTTGTCTCTTTACCTGGATTCGGTGGTGTACCTGCTTTAAACTTGGACTGTTACGGCCCAGCATTTGGGGTGTGGCCTCGGCGTACCCAGTATGCCGCAGATCGTGGCGTGGCAGGAGGACCGCACCCAGCCTTGATGATTTTATTAATCTTTGTTTTTTCTACATCGATTAGTTTATTTCTTTGTTTCTTTTTTTTATTTTTATTTTGCTTACAAATGTTTTGATTCTTTCTAAACTTGAAGATTTATTTCTAAAATATTGTTTGTTTATTTTGGTGTGTTTAAATTAGCTGTGTTTAACAGTTTTTCTGTTTGCAGTTGCTGGGGTCTGGCGTCGGTGTGGTGACTGTGTCTACCTCTCTTGTGTTCCGTGATTCCTGGGTTTGGGTTATCTCACCGCGTCTGGTGTGTCAAAGGGTTTTTTTTTTGCTTTGCTGTGTTTGGATGTCGTCCCCATAGCGCTCCTTTGGACGGAAACCTCAGCCACTGCAGTTTTCTTTTGGTTTTCATTTTTTAAAGAATTGGCTTCTAAGAACAGTATTTTAGAAAGAAGTTAATAAACATGTTTTTACATTCAAACAAAACAGGAATGGTTTTACAGATGGCAGCCATTGACATTTTTTCCCCTCCTCAACTTTTCTGACTCTTTTTCAGATGAGAGCAGGTTCACCCTGAGCACATGTGACAAAGGTGAAAGGTTCTGGAGAAGCCGTGGAGAACGTTATGCTGCCTGTAACATCGTTCAACATGACCGGTTTGGTGGTAGGTCAGTGATGGTCTGGGGAGGCATATCCATGGAGGGACGCCCAGACCTATACAGGCTAGACAACAGCACCCTGACTGCCATTAGGTATCAGGATGAAATCCTTGCACCCATTGTCAGACCCTATGCTGGTACAGTGGGTCCTGGGTTCCTCCTGGTGCAGAACAATGCCCGGCCTCATGTGGCGAGAGTATGCAGGCAGTTCCTGGGGGATGAAGGAATTGATACTATTGATTGGCCCCCACGCTCGCCTGACCTTAATCCAATAGAACACCTCTGGGACATTATGTTTCCATCCATCCAATGCCGCCAGGTTGCACCTATAGCTGTCCAGTGATGCCCTGGTCCAGAACTGGGAGGAGATACCCCAGGACGCCATCTGTCGTGTCATTAGGAGTATGCCCAGACAATGTCAGGCATGCATAAACGCACATGGGGGCCATACAAATTACTGAATACCATTTTGAGTTGCTGCAATGAAATTTCAGCAAAAAGGACTAACCATCATTATTTCACTGTAATTTTTGGGGTGTCTTTGAATCCAGCCCTCTGTAGGCTACATCAAATAACTTGGCTTCCTTTTGTTCCTAACACATTACCCAGTCCATATCAGTAGAAATAAGCAGCATGATTTTTTTGCCCCATTGAGATCTAATGTGTTTGCAAAGTGTTCCTTTAATTTTAAATATGTGTGTATATATATGTACATATATATATACATACATGTATATATATATATATATATATACATGTATATATATACATGTATATATATATATATATATATATATATATATACATATATATATATATATATATATATATATATATACATATACATATATATATATATATACATATATATATATATACATATATATATATATATACATATATATATATATATATATATATATATATATATATATATATATACATATATATATATACATATATATATATATATACATATATATACATGTATATATATATATATATATATATATATATACATATATATACATGTATATATATATATATATATATATATATATATATATATATATATATATATATATATATATATACACATGTATATATATATATATATATATATATATATATATATATATATATATACACATGTATATATATATATATATATATATATATATATATATATATATATATATATATGTAGAGGTCAAATTCAACTTTTACCAGGGTGTTTTTAAACTGCAGTATCTATACTTCTACTTAAATAACAAATTCACACTTCTAAAGTCTCTAAAGCTTCTAAAGTTCATCTGTGTTTATTCAAAATGATCATCAGTCTGATTATTAGCAAACTGCTCCACAGTCTCCTTCAGCAGCCGCTACATGTCATCAGAAATACATGATCATTGACCTGCTGCTGGGAGGAAGCTTGATGATTATAACAAGATGAATGTTTAATAGGAAATTCAGTGAGGATTACTACATTAATAAAAAGGTCCTTGAAAGCACCATGACCTGTATTACCATAAAAAGCTGAACAGAAGCTCAGAAATTATCAGTTGAGAATAAAGCTGCTGCGCTAAAGGGGTTCGATCATCAGTTTAAGACTAGACAAATTAAAACAGACAACTAGAAGATAAACTAATTTGTTTCTCCATCTCCATTTGATCATTTCCAGGTTCTGTTCATCTTTGGTGGTCTGGATGAGAGTCAACTTATTCTGGACTTTCAGAACAAGGAGATCCTGACTGATGTTACAGAATCCACCTCAGTGGATTTCTGCTGACAAACCTCATCAGGGGGAAACTGCTTTCCTCTGCTCTCCTCTGGATAACTCCATGACCTGCAGCAGCCAATCAGATCCCTCCTGAGTGTGTTGACATGGTGACAGAGGTCAGGGGTTTCACTGACCCACAGAAGGAGGAGTATTTCATGAAGAGATTTAGAGATGAAGAGTAGGCCAGCAGGATCATCTCCTACATCAGGGATGGGAGATTGGCCGCCCAGGGGCCGCACACGGCCTTCGTCATCACTCAGCGAATAGATCAATAATAATTTAATTATTTAATAAAAAATAAATAGTAATTATACAGTAATGGCCAAAAGTTTTGAGAATTATTCAAAACGGCAATTTGCATATACTCCAGAATGTTATATAGAGTGATCAGCGTAACAGCAATTAATCAATAAGTCAATATTTGCCTAGAAAATGAACTTTATCCCCCAAAACACATTTCAACATCATTGCAGCCCTGCCTTAAAAGGACCAGCTACCATCATTTCAGTGATTGCTCCATTAACACAGGTGTGGGTGGTGATGAGGACAGGGCTGGAGATCAATCTGTCATGATTAAGTAAGAATGACACCACTGGAAACTTTAAAAAGAGGCTGGTGCTTGGCATCATTGTTTCTCTTCTGTGAACCATGGTTATCTCTATAAAAACAGGTGCAGTCATCATTGCACTGCACAAAAATGGCCTAACAGGAAAGAGAATCGCAGCTAGAAAGTTTGCACCTCAGTCAACAATCTATCGCATCATCAAGAACTTCAAGGAGAGAGGTTCCATTATTGCCAAATAGGCTCCAGGACGCCCAGGAAAGACCAGCAAGCGCCAGTACCGTCTCCTAAAAGTGTTTCAGCTGCCGGATCGGGATACTAGCAGTGCAGAGCTTGCTCAGGAATGACAGCAGGCAGGTGTGAGTGCATCTGCACGCACTGTGAGGCGGAGACTCTTGGAGCAAGGCTTGGTCTCAAGGAGGGCAGCAAAGAAGCCACTTCTCTCCAGGAAAAACTTTAGGGACAAACTGATATTCTGCAAAAGGTACAGGAAGTGGACTGCTGAGGACTGGAGTAAAGTCATTTTTTCTGATAAACCCCCTCTGAGGGGTCAACACTGCAAATATTGACTTGTTGCATTAACTCATTCTGTCATTAAAAGCTTTTGTTACTCATAATATGATTGCAATTGGATTTCTGTATGTGATGACAACACCTGACATACACACATAAAAACCTGAGGTCACAAGATCGTGTGAAAATATAATATTTGTGTCATTTTCAATACTTTTGGCCATGATTGTACTTTTGACCAATAGAGGGTGCACCGTACACAAACAATAGTGGGCACGGGCCCGCTTTGCAACATGGCCACTAGCAGTTGCATAAAGAGAAAACTTGACCGAGAAAATTTTATTTTCCAGATAAAATGGAAAGAAGAGTACCTTTTCACCGAATTCAAAGGAAAGCCAATGTGTCTAATTTGCTTGGAGACATTATCAGCCCCGAAAGATTACAACCTAAGTCCACATCACAACACCTTGCATAAGGTTAAGTATGAGAAGTACACTGGAGCTGCCAGCGTGCTAGTATCAGACCTCAAATCGAAAGTATTTAAACAGCAGCACTTTTTCATAACTACGACGTGTCAAGTTTCAGCCATCATAGCGTGTTATGATGTGGAACTCAAACTTGCCAGGGCAAAGAAGCCACTGTTGGATGGAGAAGTGGTTAACAGTAAAAATGGCCAAAGCAATTGGTGACAATATGGCTAAAAACTTTGAATGTGTGTCCTTAAGCACATTAACACGCAGGATTTTTGACGATCGATGTAAAAATTAAACAAGTCATGCATGACTGCAAATACTTCTCATTAGCTTTGGATGAGAGCACAGATGTCACAGATGTTAGCCAACTTCTGTTTTTTGAGAGAACGATTGACACAAAGAGTTATTGAAATTGATTTATATGGGCTTCAAAAGTGAGTTGGGAGTCCATTTTTAAACCAAAAATAATAACTGTTGATCAGAGCGGGATGTTAGTACCAGGAAAGGTGATGCTGGTTATGGATAATATTTGGTTTGATGAGGAGTTCCAACCAGGATGGCTTTGGAGCTATTGAGTTGAAGAAAGTTTTGCTCCATCCAAAATCAGATTACCTCACAGAGTTTAACCAAAGTCCCTTATTTCCTGACATGTTCTCTGTGTGACTCTTTCTGCTCACTCTTTCTTTGTCCTCAGTTTCATATTTTTGGAGTTTTATAGCAGAGAGCTTGAGCTGTTCACTACATTTATGAAACTTTGGATGTTTGCAGTTCTATTCCAGAAAGCTGTTCCTCACCTGTGCAGGTATCCTGGCTCCGCCCACTCACTGCTGTCTGCATGATGATCTAATGTAGTTCTTTCTGATGAGATCTATTGGACCATCTTCTAGATATCTGTGCTGATTCAATGTTTTTTTTTATTAATTATTTTTATTATAATCATAAAATTATTTCAGAAGAACATAGAAAAGGGGACATGGTAGGTAAACCAAAGTTTTTTATTTAAACAAGATTGAATTATTTTAAATCAAATCATTTTTTGTAAATATGCTCATAATTTATGGTAGAGGTCAAACATACAATGTACTGGATTATTTGAATTTAGAAAAAGAGCCTTTATCTCCAAATTGTTGTGAGGAGGTTCAATGAATCTACCTAATAAAGTTCAAATTGCAAAGTAACATGATCCATAAACTGCAGCAGTCCCTCTGTAGTCTAGTTCAAAACAGCTCCTGCAAACATCAGTTGACTTAAAAAAGGGAACTACAGAACTAATTCTTTTAGAATAGGTATATATATTAGGGTGAGCATATTTAGATTTCCATATAGAGGACACTTTGCCTCCAGGCGGATTCAGACAGGCTTCTCAAAGGTTAATGAAGAGCTTTATTATACCTAAATGGTACAAAAACAACATTTGTAGTAAAAGGAAATCTGTAACAACCAGAAACAAAACTATAGTTCTCTTTTATAATACAAAAATAAATTCAAATAATTTTCTAAAAATGACCTCTTCTACATTATAAACACAGCTTGAACAGATTTTCCAAGGTCTAACAAAGTGCAGCTGAATATAATACATAAAATCAGTTGTATAAAATAGGTGATAGTTACTTTCAATTATAGCAGGTAAATAGAACATCTATAGAATCAAGGACAAAACTTTTAGAATTAGTTCAAAGGAAAATTATACTTTCAAAAAATCCCCAAAAAGCAGATATTTCACACTTCTAGAGAAATTTCAGATTTCTTCAATAAATTATTAAGACAAAGACTTTTTACCAAGTTAAAGCAGGTTCAAACTGATCAGAAAAAAATAACATAATCAATCCTGTTTATCTTTTTAAACAAACATGTTTCATCATTTTAGGACTTCAATTTACCTGAACTACAGACTCCAGCCTCTAAACTGAGTTCTTTGATGTCCCGTAGTTTAACCCCATAATCCCAGCACCCCCTTTCAAGGTGGCTGGAGCTACTTTGCAACATTAATTAGCTTGTAGCTGACTAACTCTGAGACTGACACACACTTATATATGTCCCAAATCTTCATCTGAGACTCCTCTATAGATGATCTACTTCATTCTAATATCCATTGACCATAGCTCTAACACTGGGCCAAAAACAGTTGGAGTTTTGGTGGGCCTGGATTCAACAACACACGTAGCAGGGCTGATTGATGCATTGCTAATGAAAGCCAACAAGACACTGAATTAGCTAAACTCTCATCATTTGCAGCTGACCTCTTAAAAAATCCTCCAAAAACATCAGCAAAACTGAGCAAAGCTCATTAAAACTGTTCTACCTTTGCTTTACTTTCATTTGAGGATATTTTAATCTGAATAAAAGTGTTTCTGGAATATATCCAACCAATAGTTTAGCAAACTTGCTTCATCTGTCACCAAGATGTTTTCCTTTATTACAGAGAAAGTAAGAAATATTTTTGTTAGGGCAACATTCTCATTTTGGCCAACTAAATGAAATTTACTGAGACTCAAAATAATTAACTTTAAAATTTTTCACATCCACATATTCTGAATACCTGAATATTTATTAGAATTACAATATAACATCTCATCTGTTCTAGTTTCCATGTAAACAGAACTGTTAATTAAGTTAACTAACAAAACTTTGCCATTAACCTGTGAGTTTCTCATGTAAGGGGGTGAAGGAGTTTCTATATGGACATTTTATCACCAGTCAAACATGGAAAACGCCTCTACTGTTCTTTCCTATGGCATCTAACTGCTGTGAATTATGTGAAACAAATGCTTTATTAAAAATATAAATCATTCCACATCATGCATGAATAAATGTCCTCTGTAAAATTACCTCCTCATTTGAAACCTTTGTCACAAATCATTCGGGAGAACAGCTTCTCACCTTTGTGAATTCTCAAGTGTGTAGTCAAAATACTTTTTAAAGTAAAAGTTTTTCCACAAATTGTACAGGAAAAAGGCTTCTCACCTGTGTGATTTCTGATGTGATTATTAAGATCAGACTTACAAGTGAAGCGTTTTCCACAGGACAGACATTCAAAAGGTTTCTCACCTGTATGAGTTCTAATGTGTTTAGTCAAACTACTTTTTACAGTAAAATTATTGTTACAAATGGTACAAGAAAAAGGCTTCTCACCTGTGTGAATTCTGATATGTCTATCAAGATCAGATTTCTGTGTGAAGCTTTTTCCACAGGACGAACATTCAAAAGGCCTTTCCCCTGTGTGAATTCTCATGTGAGTAGTCAAATTATTTCTTTCAGTAAAAGTCTTGTTACAAATGGAACAGGAAAAAGGCTTCTCACCTGTGTGAATTCTGATGTGTCTATCAAGATTAGATTCCTTAGTGAAGCTTTTTCCACAGGACAGACATACAAAAAGATTCTCTCCTGTGTGAATTCTCATGTGAGAAGTCAAATGACTTTTTTCAGTAAGATTCTTGTTACAAATTGTACAGGAAAAAGGCTTCTCACCTGTGTGGATTCTGATGTGTCTATCAAGATTAGATTTCTTTGTGAACATTTTTCCACAGGACAGACATTCATAAATCTTCTGACCTGTGTGAGTTCTCATGTGAACCATTAAATGTTCTTTTTTAAGAAAGTTTTCTCCACATGTCAAACATGGGAAAGTTTCCTCTTCTTTATCTTCAGCCTCCTGCTTCAGAACAAGCTGCTCTTCCTGCTCACTAATGAGGACCTCCATGGTTTCCTCTTTTGTCCAGGGATGTTCTGGTTCTTGCTGCTCTTCTTTTATCTGCAGAGGTTCTGGTTCCTCTTGGTCCACACTGGAATTCCTCTCCTGCTGGTTAGAATAATCCTCCTCTTTTCCAACATAATCCTGCAGGCGGTCTGGGAAGACAAACACAGCAGAAAGACTTTCTATTGTGGGTTAAAGAAAGGAAACTTAATTAAACTTTAATCATTCTTGTGTTGATCTAACTCATAAAAACAGACTGGAACTACCTCTCCCAACATGCACTGCAGCTCTGAAACCACAATCAGTGGCTAGAAAATAGTGGTTAAAGCTCAACCATCTGTCAAGGTTTGGACCTCCACTTTTATCAACAAAGCATTAAAATGTGATTATTTGCAGATTCTTAACCATTAAATAAACGTTTAAAATATTTTTTTGATGTTTTTTTTTGTTTTTTTGTGGCTGAACAAACTAAGTTTTGCCATGTCGTTTGCCCACAGACTGCTGGAAAGGAGCACCAAGCCCCACTGTGACCCTACAGATAAGCCCCAAAAGAGGGTATGCACACATTTATCACAGAAGGCCAAAAGAAAAGAAAGGTGCACTCCAGAAAGCCAGAGCTCCATCCATTCTGGTCCGATCCAACTGTTTATCTTCACTGACCTCAGAGGTACAGAGGTAGATTGTACCTTCTCTGACTCCTACTCCTTAGACACAATAAATAGTGGAAAAAGTATAAAAGGATGATGAAAAGACAGTATGCACCTCTTAAGAAACAATATGTGTAATGCAAAACATCTTAAGTTAAGCAGAGTGAATATCACAATGATGACATTTTTCCAACACATTATTCTGCAGAAGAACTGTTGACTTCAATCACAAACACAAGTTCAATCTTTTCCCTCCCCAGTTTATTTCTACTTCACTCTGAAACCAAGAGTTAAAACTTAACTCATGACAAAGATTCATGCAGCTCAACATCTGCCTATTTGATGACTCCGTCTTTGGTGAAGAAATTGTGCGTCATAGTAATACATCTTAAGTCTAAAGCATTTAGATATCATACAGGGTAGCAAAGGAATAATGATAAAGCGAATTGTTCCTTTTGAACTATTTGAAACGGAGAGACGTGTTTGACTACAACCAGAGGCAGAAGGCTGAAGCAACACAAATATGTCGTGCCCGTTTAACTGGAATACCCTCTATACCATGAGCAAAAGGACACAATTATCTCTTTTGTCGATGAAAAAATGTGTTTGTGTTTTCCTCGGAACCGGATTTGGTAAGAATTTGATTTATCAGTTAACACCGTAAAACAAATCAAGAATCGGTTACATCTCAGCAGCTACTGCAGCTGTGATTGGCTAAAAGCTTGACACGGGAGGTGGATACCCAATCAGCTCGAAGAATTTCACTGAATGCCCCTCTCTTTCGCTAATATGTTCAACAGAACGACACCCAGATTTATATGGTGTTGGAACTAAATTGAACTACGTGTTTCAATCTAGCTTATGCCAGCTTAAATATGTGGCCCAGATGCAAAAAAAGGCCTTTCCAGGGCTCTTTATTGAAATTTCACAAGGAAGAAATGCTCTAATAAAACAAAAAGGAAGTTTGAAAAATGTTGCTTTTATCTTGGGATATTATAAACCAGGTTTGAAGCATCTGATTGCTATAGATTTTAAAGAAGAGCAGATTAACAACACTTAAGATTGTAAGAAAAGAGGTGGAAAAGCCCTTTAGCCTTTTGATGAACCGGTGTTATGAGAAGAAGAGAATGCCTGCTTAGAATTGCCTAACCTTTTGCAATCTAAGCTGTTGCACATTGATGACAAAGTGTCATAAATTGATTGCTTTTTTAGAAAAGGCCGCCATGGAGACATTCATTTTTTTTTTAATCAAAATGAGAGATAGAGAAAATGATGTTGACAAAGTATAACGTAGGGATGCTTTTAAGAGGTTTATAGGTGGCTTTGATGTTCCTATCAAGTCTAGATTTCTTTGTGGACATTGTTCCACAGGGTTGACATTCATAAAACTTCTCACCTGTGTGAGCTCTCATGTGAACCATTAAATGTACTTTTCTAGGAAAGTTTTCTCCACATATGAAACATGGGAAAGTGTTCTCTCTGCTTCTTTAGAACAAGCTGCTCTTCATGCTCACCTATGGGGAGCTCCATGGTTTCCTCTTTTGTCCAGGGAAGTTCTGGTTCTTGCTGCTCTTCATTTATCTGCAGAGGTTCTGGTTTCTCTTGGTCCAAACTGGAATTCCTCTCCTGCTGGTCAGAGACATCCTCTTCTTTTTCAACATAGTCCTGAAAGTGGTCTGGAAAGACAAACACAGCAGAAAAACTTTCTATTGGTGGTTAAATAAATGACACTTCATGTAAAAGCACCAAACTCTGCCCTTGGAGCGAGTGGATCCTGTCAAGCAACCTGAAGATATGAAATTCATTCTGGCCTAAATCTTTTTCCCCACAAGAATTATTAAAGAAAGTAAATCATTTACATCCAACACCACAGTGACTGTCTGGCAAATGAGGGAATAATGTGACACCCTAGCCTCAACAGCGCTTCCTGTAAACCTCTGCCTGGAAGAGACATACCCCAGCTATATGTGTCAGAGGCTGAGCAGATTTTAAATGATTCTCTGATTAAGTCTCTCCTTTCTATGGTATTAAAAAGAAGCATTATGTTTTAATGAGAAAAACAAGGCATAAATGATAAAGAAATCTGGAGCAGCTTCCTGATTTTTTGTTAGAAATGTAGCAATCAGCAGGGGAATAGGGCTGTTATTTTTCCCTGTAAAAATAGTTTGAACCATAAAATGAAGTGATTACAGTTTTAAAAAAGATCACAGTGCCAAAAGAATTTCTTTTGCTGATAAGTCTAGAGGCAGGAAGGCCTGCAAGGCTCGGATGATGAGGTCACCACTTTCAGTCTCTTACATGGAAGTCCAGTATCCCATTCTGGAAATGTTAAAAGGGGCAAGTTTTTGCTCATCTGGGAACTCTTGTCTGGGTTCTCCATCACAGAAGAACAAAGTAACTCACATATCACTCAAGAGGAGGATACTTATTTTAATACAGAAGACATTTGACCAAACCAAATGAAAATGCTCAGAAGAAACTAAGAAAAATATATTTGACCAGACCAATTGAAGAAACTTCAAAAGACAGCATAAAGGAGGAATCAGATGGTTGAACCACATTAATATTGAATTTTAATTTGGTATTTTGCGTGAGTCTCGCTGCCATCTTTTCTTTCTGAGAGTTTGCTAATAAAAGATTTTACATTAGCATACCTTTTTCCATGGCCCGAGATTTTGCCTCTGCAACCGCCCGGGCCGCGACACGCTTGGCCTCATGGTACCTGCTTGCTGCTTCAGGAGTCCCACAAGCCAGCCAAGCTCGATAAGACTCCTTTTTCAGCTTGACAGCATCCCTTACTATCGGTGTCCACCACCGGGTTCGGGGATATGGCCACAGCTACGGGCAGCCGCATCGATAATAGAGGCAGAGAACACAGCCCATTCGGACTCCATGTCTCCAACCTCCCTCGGAACCTGAGAGAAGCGGTCCCGGAGGTGGGAGTTGAACACATCCCTGACCGAGGGTTCCACCAGACGTTCCCAGCAGACCCTCACTACACGTTTGGGCCTGCCGAGTCTTTCAGGCTTCCTCCTCTTCCAGCGTATCCAGCTCACCACCAGGTGGTGGTCGGTGGACAGCTCCGCCCCTCTCTTCACCCGAGTGTCCAAGACATACGGCCGAAGATCAGAAGATACGACTACAAAGTCGATTATCGACCTTTGGCATAGGGTGTCCTGGTGCCAGGTGCACCGATGGACATCCTTATGCTAGAACATGGTGTTCATTATGGACAATCCATGACTTGCACAGAAGTCCAAGAGTGAGACACCACTCAGGTTCAGAGCTGGGGGCCCGTTCCTCCCGATCACGCCCCTCCAGGTGTCACTGTCGTTTCCCACGTGGGCGTTGAAGTCTCCCAGCAGAATGATGGAATCCCCGGGAGGGGCGCTTTCTAACACCCTCCCCAAGGATGCTAAGAAGGCCTGGTACTCTGTACCCATAGGCCGAAACAACTGTCAGAGTCCTCCCTTCGACCTGAAGGCGAAGGGATGCGATCCTCTCATCTACCGGGGTGAACTCCAACACGAGACGGCTGAGCTGAGGGGAGACAAGCAGCCCCACCCCCGCCCTTCGTCTCTCCCCGCTGGTCACTCCAGAGTAGAAGAGAGTCTAGCCTCTCTCAAGGAGCTGGGTTCCAGAGCCCTGACTGTGCGTAGAGGTGAGCCCAACTATTTCTAGCCGGTATCGCTCCACCTCCCGCACAAGCTCGGGCTCCTTCCCCGCCAGTGAGGTGACGTTCCACCTCCCCAGAGCCAGTCTAAGTGCCCGCGGATCAGGTCGCCGGGGTCTCCGCCTCTGACTGCTGCCCAATCCTCTATGCACCGGTCCCTCATGGTTCCCCCTGCAGGTGGTGGGCCCACTGGGGGATGGCCTCGCGTCGCTCCTTCGGGCTGGGCCCGGCCGGGTCCCGCGAGGAAGAGCCCGACCACCAGGCGCTCGCAGACGAACCCCAACGCCAGGCCTTGCTCCAGGGTGGGGTACCGGGCGATGTCACGTGCATCGCTGTAGTCCTCGTCATAAGGGTTTTTGAACAGCTCTTCGTCTGACCTGTCACCCAGAGCCTGTTTGCCTTGGGAGACCCTACCAGGGGCATTTAGCCCCCGACTGCATAGCCTCTAGGATCACTCAGGCGCTGAAACCCCTCCACCACATTAAGGTGGCGGTTCAAGGAGGGGCCATGGAAAAAGACTATCGGTTGGCAAACCGTCCGGCGCCTCCGGAGGGGTAAGCAGTGCTTCGCTAACACTGTTTTCAGTGGGAGTGGGGAGCTGCTGACCTTGGAGGAGGATATTGTCGGGCGGTGGAAGGAATACTTTGAGGATCTCCTCAACCCGACAGACACGCCTTCCATGGGGGAAGAAGAGACGGGGTGCTTGGGGCTGGATTCGTTCATCACCCAGGCTGAAGTCACCGAGGTGGTCAAAAACTCCACGGTGGCAA